CCATTAACGTTAACACTGTTCTCTTCAGTGATCCAGAAAGCAGTTCCTTTATACCCTCTGTGACAAATAACCCCATTTTTTTTCTCTTCCAGCAGTAAGCCACTTAACATTTAAACCTATAGTGAAGTGGAAATTCGAATCTGGCTCTTAAGAGGGTAACAGATGGGCAAATAAGATATTTTTGTATAGAACATGTTACACACGAGAAGCCTAGTGATAACAAACGCATTATTAACTGAATAACGGCGGTATCATTTCCAGGCAATTCCACAGAAACAACCCAAGAATAAAAACACACCAACCAAGGACTTCTAGCCCGTTATAGTTCTCCAGCTCCTCACTAATATTCAGTAGGTCAAGAGTCTATTTCGAGATTCTACTGTTCACGCTCAGCCCTCGGAGACTGGGAGGCGGGACACTGGATTCACAGTGGCAAAGAGCGTGAGCGTGGCAGCTCAAATGGGGGACTGTATTTCCCATGGGGTGACCTGCTGTTTAAGTGACCCTGAACAAATGACTACACTTCTCAGAGCCTCCGTGTTCTGCTCTGTAAAACAAGGACCAAAAAACCAGCAACCTCACGGGAATTTTTTTTAGGATGATATGAAGGGATGTAAATAAAATACTCAGCACAGACTTCAACAGTCTTTATTACAATATACTGGAACGCTGCATTTCGATGTTTCTCTCTTACGGTCACCAGAAAGGCAGCACTGTCATTCTCTTAATGTTTGCATCCTCCCCAGGTGCCCAGCTCTGGAACTAGACAGTTAATAAATCAATGAATTGTGTCTACTACATGTTTGTATTTTTTTAATGTTTTATTTATTAATGTACACAGAGAGAGAGAGAGAGGGAGAGAGTACAAGTAGGGGGAGCAGCAGGCAGAGGGAGAGGGAGAAGCAGGCTTCCCGCTGAACAGGGTCGATCCCAGGACCCTGAGATCATGATCTGAGCCGAAGACAGATGCTTAACCGACTGAGCCACCCACGTGCCCCCAAATGTTTGTATTTTTATGTGAAAGCCAACAAAGAGCTGACACAAAGAAAGAGGAATCGTGGGGCGGGGGGGCTGTTGGGTGACAGGAGTAAGGACCTGCAGAGCAGCAGGTGGGAGAGGCAGCGATTCCAAGAAGCAACAGGAACGTGGGCAGCAACCCTCCAGAACAGGTCAGAGAATCAGCACCAGAAAGGGTAGGAAAGAAGATCTGAGGTCTCCTTGGCAGAAGTGGGGGCCAAAACACCCACCTCACTGCACCCCGATAACTTGCAAAAACACCAAAGACAACACATACAGAGCACTGTGATGACGATCAAACTGATCTGTCTAGGAGATTCCTGCCCATTGCTAATCTGAAAGATGCCCATCGCCCTTTCCCCCGTATGTATGCAGAATAAAGCCCAAGGGACTATTTCTGCAGGGTGCAGAACCCCTGAGCAGCCGAGAGAGACGGTTCCTGTCTAGGGCTCGACGCAGCAGCGAGCTAGATCACAGAGTGAAGTCCTCTGGCCATGCAAGCACCCACACGAGCACCAGGAGCATGCGAGGGGCCTGCCACCTGACAGTAAATCCCGGTTCTCTCCAGCAGTGCGAAAATGTGTTACTGTACTTGAAAGAGGAAACAGACATCTTGCACTTGCCTTCTGACAGAAGTCACTTTGACAAGAGATGAAACAACAAAGATGACTACGATGGTATGAAAAGCAGAAGAAAAACCAGGTTGCCGTCAGCTCATGGATGCCAAGGGACACGAGGTGGCTCAGTGGCGGGGAGGACAGAGAGCCCTATGGCAGGAGAGCGTCCTCTGACCGGAGGAAGCAGGGAGGAGGAGCAGTCCTAAGGCTTAGTGAGAGTCCGCATGAAGAATCAGCGTGGCAGACAGCTAGCCAGGAGAGCAAGAACTGTGCAGAGTGCTGAGCAAATCACCTGAACGGATGTGACCATGCACCAACCTGCCCAGTTGCCGGACTTTCTCCAGCGCAGCTCAGAGACAGGTGGAAAGCCAGAGGACAGAACGGTCAGGATGCGTAAGCTTGGGCGAGAGACTGATTTTGCACCTGGACTATGGATTCTAAGTTGAATCAGGACGAAAATAAAGATGGAAAGGTATGGAGCAAAGGAGGCAGCCAATGAGAGGTCTCAGAGGGATCAAAAGAGAGGTGGGGTACCCGATGGCTGGACCGGGCAGGGTGTGGTCAAACAGGAGACTTCTGACCAACTAATCTGAGCCATGAGTAGCCACGGCCTAGAGAGAGGGGAGATGGAGGAAGTTGGGGAGAAGACCCCTGGTGATGAGAAGCCCCCACACCCACACAGTTGGGGAAGTAGGTGGGCCACCCAATGTAGCTGAGACAGGGTGGGGGGGACAATAAGGCGGTCACGAGTGAGGGTGGGAGTAACAAGAGAGTCAGCAGGTCACAGTTACGGGGACAACAGAAGGTTACCCATGTGGCTTGATGCTCAGAAAAAGCAGGGGTTGTTACCGGAAGGGAGAAAAGCAAAAATCTAGTACCACCGCGCCAAGCACGGGGCCGCCACTCCACTTCCCGAGTAGTCTTGTCCCTCCCCAATGATAACATTCATCTACCTAATCGAGTGGTTCCTGCCAGTTTTTATTCTGAAGGAAACCCATCTTTCCCCAGCATTTATTCAAAGTAAATACCAGAAGGCTATCATTTCTCCAGGTGAGCAGAGCTTTCCTAAGGGGAAATCTTCAGGGATGGGGAAATTCATCTCAGAATGCGAAAGGGGGTCACACACTCACCCCCATGCTGACAAAGTATAAATAAATTAATGGTTTTATTAGATTTTTTTTTAAAGGCCAAGTTTTTGTTTTGTTTTGTTTTTTTTAAAGGCCAAGTTTTTATCCTATCTTCCGCTAACTGGAAGCAAAGGTTTGCCTCAACACTGGAAATCTACATCCTTGTCATTTATACTGAAGATTGTGGAGACTGGGTGTATTTTTTACTATCTCTCTGTCACCAATACTCTGTCACCGACTGGTTCAACCGATGAGCCCATTTATGAGGCAGTACTTCAGGTCACTAGAGAAGGATTTCGGGGCTCTCCCACTCCTCTGAATAGATCTGCTCGGGGACGGTCTGCTTTGGGAAAATTTCACGGATTCCCATGCATGTGGTCCCTGTTCTCCCAACGAGATGCTACACCGGGGATGCTAGGCCTCCCTGGGCAGGTCTGTTATTGCACTTGACACACCCAACAGTTAAGTAAGACAAGCCTTATGACGTATGCACGTGTGAAAGAGTAAGAACTTCACGGCGCTTTTGTATCCCTTCATGAGTTGAAGTTCACGCCTAGAAAGTGCCTGGCATATGGTAAGAGCCACAGAAGTGTTTGCTGTTCTTATGAGGATATGTACTTGCATGTCTCCCTTTGTGGACTTACTAGCACCTTTTTTTTTTTTTTTTAAACTAGCATCTTTAAAATAGTCGAGACTAAGTCTTAATCACTATCCCCAGAGCCTAGTACAGTGACTGGCTGCTTAGAGACATTCGGGGAATGAACGCATCAATCCATTTACAGGCCAATTTTAACCTCACAAGAAATGTGAAGACGTAGATATTTAAAAATAATAAAACAAAGGATTACCTCATTTGTAACCCGCCTCGTTTAAAAATAATCTCAGGCAGTTCATAAATTACGGTCTGACCTTTCAAATAGGTAATTAAATGAAACAAGTTAAAATTAAGGGTAGAATTCCATTATCAGTATCACTGAAAAGTCAGTGGACTTAAGAATTAAGTACACCTACATACATTTTTTACTCCAAGGATTAGAAAATTTTCACTTTTGTTGTAGGAGGGTGGAAAAAAAAAAAAGCCCAAGGCCTCGGCTCCCCACCATGAATTGCTATTCTCATTTCTTCCACAGGTCTAGGAACTAGGGAGGAAAGACCGTAACAACAAAGTTCACCTACTTCCTGTCACATGTCTGCAAGAGGAGAGTCTCAGAGCTGTTGGTGATCGAAGGGAACCACGGAGGCATCCAAAAGAAAATTCAAATTACTGTGACTAAAAGTTCAAAATGTTCATAAAGCCCACAGGTGCTCAGAGCAGACAATCTCCAGCAGAAGAGAGCCATTCTGTAGACTTCATCTCATTTTCAACACTTCTACAGAACACCTGATCTAGGATCACAGCATAGCCATACTTAAAATAAGCACTGCTAATATGTTAATATTCTGGTCCAACTCAGAGGATTTCTAACACTACAGAAAACGAGTCTGTCACCTAACGAGCAGGACTTTCCTCTTCCACAGGTGCGTGAAAAACACCACCGTATGCATGAAAATGGAATTCTATCAAAGTTCCTGGGAAATACAGTCTGGGAATGCGGTGTTTCCCAGTGGAAGAGAAATGTTTATCTTAGCCTTACGGTCATCCAAGAAGAAACCTGTGCAGCAAGGAGAGCAAGGAGTGAGAGGGACATCTTCCCAAGTGGAGGCTGTGTCTCCTTGATGGAAGAGCCCCCTGGTTTCCGTTCAGGGATGGCCCTTCCGCTCTTGCCCTCATGCTGAGGGCATGACCCCCATCAAAGGCAGACTGACACGATGAATACAAGTTCAAGCACGTGTACTCAAAGCAGCAGCAAATGATAAATAAACTCCTCTTTCCATGCCAAAGTTCTCCTGATGGCTACAAACTCAGATACAGGCACATCCAAGGAACGCCTGCTTTTCCAATAACTTCCCAGTTAACTGAAATCATTCTGACCAGTAACTTCTCTCGTGCTTTTCCAAGAAAGCCAGCATTCACACCTACACACATTCCCATCAGAGAAAGAGTGTTTAGAGGGTAAGGATAAAACACAACACACACAACACAACACACACACACACACGTACACACACACGTCTTAATAATAGTGTATTTTTCCATAACTGTTAAGCTTTTTTCACTTCTTTTTAACGAACGAAACAAAAACTGAGGTCTCAATCCAACACGGAGTGTATCTGAGGATTAAAATTTCCAAGGACGTACCCTCCTAGTTCTGCATCCTTCCATGACTGCATGAACAGTCGCCTGGGGAGCTTCCTCGAAGAGGTGAAGATGAACTCCTTCCCGCGCTCGCAGGCATGACTCACTCACTACATTTGCGCCTACAAAGTCAGTCCTCCTGAGTTTTCACAGGCAGGTATTTTTGCAATCTGGAGAACATTAAAAAAAAAAAAAGAACAATTACATATTTTGAATGTGGATTTCTAACAGCTAAAAAAAAAAAAGTCCCCGTTCCCATGAAGTTCAGAAGACGATCGTAGATTCTCCAATATGCCCATTCCATCTCCACCACCTAACCATGGAGTGTGATTTTCATGGCAGTATGTTGACATGACAATGATCAATGTCACAACAAAAGACGCTGGAACAGTAAGGCCACGGACGCAACAAAGGTGAGTACAGTTGGAGGGGCATGATAGCCTGGCCCCGCAAAACACTGCACACTTACCCCCAAGGTCAGGTTCCCTGATGTTTCTTGCCAGCTGGCTACACCGCTGCTCACAAAGACACCACAACCCCGTGAACCAGCGACAACAAAACACATCATCGACCCCCGACCCTGCCACCCCATCCCCCCCCAACCTGTGCCAGCGGAGCGGCCGCCCAGGGCAAGGGCACCTCCGAAGTCTCTATTTTAACCCCCTCAGATGCACTAAAGGAGGTTCTGTCTGCAGAGTCCGGGGAAGGGCAGCATCTTCCGTAATCACAGCAAACCCGGGTGGGAATACCACTAACAGTCTCGAGGCCAAGGCCAGGTGACAGCAAGGTTCTGAGGCTGCTTCTGGGGCCTCAGGACAGAGATGGGACCCGGCCCAGCGAAGGAGAGGGGCAAGGTGACAGGGCCCGAGGCTGGACACTGATACTTCCATGAAGGGCTTGGTCTCCCTCCTCTGAGCTCTTACCCCAGCCTGGGTGCTGCTTCCAACATCTCAGAATTGTCTTAATATTACCGTATTTTTTTCATTGTCTTGAGAACAATCACCACTTAAAATTGAGTAAGTTAAAACCAACCCTGCCGGAGGAAAAGCCAACTACCAACTTCCACCTTTACTCCTCCGCTCATGGCTCTCAGAGCTGCACCGGGCCGCGAGGTAGGACGAGGGGCAAGTGAAGAGACACACTTCAAGTCAAGGCTCTCAGTAGTGTTTCCTTGGAAAACAAAAATAGTCAGCTCACTTCCATCCAGCTGTGGCCGTCTCACACTGTGGCTCACCCCACGTGGCTGTCTGGGGGTGGGGTTCAACTAAGCTCAGTGGCAAGGGCCCTCGGGATAACAATCCAAACTGAAAACTGGACTGCCCACCATTGGACTTCTTCAAGAAAAACGGCCCTAAACCTGGTTGCTTACTCTTCATTGACAACATCCTAGTGGGAGGAAATCAATAGCATTCCAGATGAAATATTTTTTCTGATGCAATTTTTTAGTGAACTTTAAAGAAGATTAAGCCTTGCTCTGGGGAACTCATTACCATTCACCCAGATGACTGTCAGTTATCAACTAGACTAATTAGAGTCTAAAGATTTTTAACCAGACATTCTTTTCAGTGATGATTCACTCATTCTTTCTCCCAATGACAGAGCCCTGCGAAGAGTGCGTCTTCGGAGTACAGCTACCAGTACGCGCTTCCCTTGCACTGCAAAATGGTAATGAAATGTTGGCATGTGTTCATAACTGGACTGTCTCAGAAGTTTTCTTTAACCAGCCCTGACCTCAGGCAGGTCCTCATGCTCTGCCGTTTCCAGCATGCTCCTAGTCTCCAACCTCTACAGGCCTTTGAATACAGGAGCACCCCCGGAGTCTGACACTCCTGCTGGCTCTCTGTCTCCACCCAGCTTATCACAACCCCCATCTTCTCTCCATTTACTGGTATGCATCATTCCAGTGCTGGGTCTTAGGGCGGTTTCTCCAGAAGGATGTCTCGAGCATCTAGCCCGCAGGCCCTCCCCAGTGCTTCTGTATCAGAGCTGCCCCCACATAGCCCTCCATTTCCCTCGCTGTACTTGAGGCTCACTGAAGTCGGCACTGGGACTTCTCATTTCCATACCCCCACCTCATCACGGAGCCTGGATCAGAATGAGCACATCATAAATGTCTGTCAGATGAATGAACGTTAACCGCCTCGGGCCGGAGTCAACCTTCCAGGCATAGGTGTCCCATCCGCCTGGCAACCCACTTGTAGATGCTCTGCTTTGGATCGAGTCAAAATCAGACGGATATGTCGACATTAAAGAGGGATGCTTTTGTATCTTAGTGTTAAGGAGAAAGATAAAGCTGAAAAAAAAAAAAAAAAAAAAAGGGAAGGGAAAAAAAAAAGGATGCTGCAAGAGGGATTCCCGGTGCAGCTTAGAAAGCAGGCCTGGGATGCACCGTGGTTCTGAAGACAGTCTCTGTCTTCAGAAGACGCCTCTGCACCAAGGCAGCCCACGCGTCACACTCCGGCAGGCCTGACACCAAGCGCCACGCACTGACCCACTCAAATCCACCGAAACACAGGCGGGCCAACAAGGGCCAATTCAAATGGAAAACCTCCTGAATGCTCGCAACTAGAGGAAAAAGGCAGGGGATTTTAGAGGAGAAGGAAAATTTATTAGGGGGAAATTAAAGACGAATAACTATTTTAAGGCAGCCTTACAGATCTGAATTTCTGGGCACAAGAACATAAAAAGTTAGTTTTCCCTGGAAACATGTTAGGTAGGTGTTGGGGATGTAAAGGCCTGAGGAGGAACCAGGATCATTCAAGAGGAACTCTTTTTCTCTGTTTGTTGGCTTTTGAATCCAGGTAGAAGGATCTTCCCGAGGCCTGAGGGGAAAGGGAGCCTCTGCTCCCTGCCCATTCCCCCTGATTCTTCTAACCTCTGGAACCCTGTCCCTGGGAACAAACCCACTGAGGCCCGGGCAGGGGCTGTGGGACAGGGCAGAGGCTGTCCTTGCCCAGGGGCTGCTGTCTGTGCCCAGATAAGCGTCTTCCTCTCCTGCAGGAAAATCTGCACTTGGTACTAAGCTTTCCAAGTGGGTTTATAGAGTCAGAGGACGGATGCGAGACTCCTGTCTACTGCTGGGGACTTTCGCCTGTTCCTAGCGGATCAGGGTGACTGAACAGACAGGGGGTGTCCCCACCGAGGCCACTGTATCCCCTGACACGAGCTCAGGAAAGTACGAGCCCAGCACAGGTGGTCCACACACTCCTGCCTTTCTCCCAGCAGACCAATGACACAGGAGATGTCATGACTCTCGTCCCGCATCTTCTCCCCAAAATGGCTCAATACTCATGGTCTTTTTGAAGATCACTTCAAGGCTTTAACTGACCTGAATAGTAACAGCAGGCAGCATACTTGACAGATCTGAGCAGTGGAAATATAACTGACTCCGAGCACAAAGGACAGGAGGGCCCCCGGCTAACCAGAGAGGACTCGGTGAGCACAGTTAGTCCGGGGAAAGGCAGGGAAAGAGCACCCGTGTCCAACACTCTGCAGAGTTCTCTTTGCTCGCTATGGAAGAAGAGAGTCGGTATATACCCAAAGATTTTATATGTAGCAGATCTTTAACTGACCTGCGAACACACTGATTCTTTGTATTTCACTTTATAATGCTCAGCCTTTCTCGCTCTTGCACATCTGTACTCAGAAAAAAAGGATGAGTAATATTAAAACACAGGAACAGTACGCAGAACAGTCCTCACACCACTGAGACACGAAACGTGTGCAGTACTATTCTCCCTCCTACACATATATAAAAACCTTAAAGGAAGCTTAGAATAGAACACGTGGGAATCCCCCACATGAATTTAAGACTCTTTTGACAGACTGAAAGTAGCTTTGAGGGGCCAGGGAAAGGATTTCCCATGTGGCTGATTCAAAGTGGTATTCTGTTTCTGAGCTGTCATGCCAAGTGGTCCTCAAGTGAGCAAGTGAACTTCTCTCCCTAGTGCTGAGCTCCAAGACTGACTTAAGGACCTAATATACTCAAAATGATTTCTTAGAGAAGTTCACAGTAAGAAGGAACCATGAAGTTTTAATGTTCTGAAAACACCCTCTAGCCAGTCCGGCTCAGTGAAACATTCGCATCTCTCTATGAAATTAAGTGTCTACAGATGTGGCTTTGCAGATATGATCATTTTGGGGACATCACAAATTTCTCACAAGATTTTCTGAAACAGAAGTTCCTAAGAGCACATAAAATGTGGATTCAGGGAACACAAACCTGATTTATATACCATTTCAAGAACACTTCCTGTTCGATGCTAAAATAATGATACGTTATCCTTTTTAAATTTTTTTTTAAATTCTGATTCAGAAACGGAGTTGAAGTAGAAATGTAAATAAAGTCATTTGAGCGCAAAAGGAGTGATCAGATAAAAAAAAAAAATCAAAGTCACTGAGAAATTCACCCCACAAACAACAGGACAACAGGCAATCTGTAATCTGAACTCGTAAGGTGTGGCGGCTTTCCAGACAGAGGCAAGGGGTAGTCCTGCCTATTATGGTATCAAGAGAGGTGTCCAGGAGCATTAAAACTCATAAATCTTTAACATAATTTTTACAGAGAAAAGATTTCCATCACATTAAGTAGAATAAATATACTGTGGTGTTTACTAGATAAGCTTCTATATGGATAAACATGTTCTTATGCTGAACTTTTTCCCCAACAGCCAGAGCGAAATGAAGCTCCCTTAGGCTAGAAATGAGGTACAAGCTGTATACACAACCATCTGAGCAAAAGAGCCTATGTGGTATGAGGATGTGGTGTACAGGGCATACACATTTTTAAAAACATTTTATTAAGTAAGCTCTATGCCCAGTGTGGGGCTTGAACTCACAACGAGAGATTAAGAGTCTTGTGCTCCACCGACTGAGCCAGCCAGGATGGAGCACCTGGGGTATAAAGATTTTTTTTTTTTTTAAAGATTTATTTATTTGACAGAGAGAGAGAGATCACAAAGAAGCAGAGAGGAAGGCAGAAAGAGAGGGAAAGCAGGCTCCCTGCTGAGCAGAGCCCAATGTGGGACTAGATCCCAGGACCCT